TTGGCCAATAGCTTAAACATATTCCTAACTAGCTCTTATATCTTAAATTAACCCATTTCTACTATTTTATATTTTACCATGAGGTTCGTGGTTTACCAGCAAGGTTCTGGCTGGTGGCTCGTGTCTTTCTCCTCCGGCGGCTATATGACATCTTCCTCATTCTGCCTACTCTCTCTATACATCTCTATTTGGATTTCTCTCATGGCTTTACTCCACCAAGCCACTGGCTGAAAGGCAGCTTTTTTAACCAATGGCAACAAAGCATACTCACAGCACACAGAGGGGAATCCCACACCAAGACTCTTGTTTCCTTACAATATTCTAGAGGATAACTATCTATCTCCCATGTTATTAAACTCCATTCTCACTTCAAAACCACAACCATTTCTTTTAATTGGCTTTTCAATAAACTTTTTAATTGGCAATTTTTGTATGTTTATCATATATATGTGGTATTAAATATATATAGATTGCAGAATGGCTAAAATGAACCACTTAGCACATTTATTACTGCACATACTTTTAGCATTTTTACTTTAAAAAATATATTCCTTTAGAAATATAAAAAACATAAAATTCACTGTTATTAACTAACTTTACAATTTTGGATGAAATTCTATTAAACATATTCTTCCTGTTTAACTGAAATTTTAGCATGCTATAGCATCATTAGTTTGGGCAGGAAAAAGAGATTCCTGGGGCAGATGTCACTAACTGTATTACTTATGATGCAATCAGCATCTGGGCTTGAGAGTGTCATAATTTCCATTTTCCCTGCCTCAGATTCCATGGCGACACTGGAGATACAAGCCCAAGCAAATGTCGCATCCATATGGAGTTCGTCAGAACTGAGGTTCCAAACATAATAGGGAGCACGTCTGTAACTTCACAACCTTTATCCCAGAGGAAGTTATTTCTGTCATTGTATCACCAAGAAACCTAGCTATCCTCCACACTAGGGTGAAACACGATATTTGCCTTCTGATGCTATTGACTATACCATGAGAAGGAGGAGGAGGCCCCAAACAGCTTTTTATTAAACAATGGTATTCACAGCATACACAGGGGAATCCCACATCACTCCCACAAGATATTTAAACTGCCCCCAGAAAACAGACATATAGTTTTCTTGGTCTCTCTTCCCTGTCTACTCTCTGGAGGGTCAGAAAATCATTCTGGAACATTTTATCCATTAAGCGTGGGCTTTTTCTAAATGGTGTGATTTGGATTGCTGCATCGGTGGAGAGGTTTATTGGGGTGCAGAAATTTTTTAATTAGTTCTTTTGAAGCTTGTCTAGTTCTGGATTTATTTTTTGAAACAAGGTTTCTCTGAAGCTTGGGAGTCTGTCCTTGTAGACCAGACTGGCCTCAAACTTACAGAGATCTGCCTTATTCTGACTCCTGAGTGCTAGGATTAAAGACATGCACCACCGCACCTGGTTAGAATTTTTTTTTTGATATCTACATTTTTGTTTGCTCCCTTCCCTTCCATCCCTCTTCCCTCCTACACTCTAGCATGACCCCCATGCTCCCAATTTACTCAGGAGATCTTGGCTTTTTCTCCTTCCTATGTAGTAGTTCTAGAATATTTAGACCAGGATTTTTTTTTTAATTACAGTTTTAATCTCATTGCTGGCTATACATATGCTTAGATTATTTGTTTTGGTAGCCCTGCACTTGGTTTTCACTTGGACATTCACCAGTGAACTGATGAGGCTAATTTTGAAACAAAGGACAGAGTACTTACTCTGCCTTTCAAGCAAGGAATTGTCACCCACAATAAAACTGGAGTTCTGTTAAAAGGCAAAACCAGGCACAATGTCTGCTTCTTAGAAAATCTACTGCGTATGGTTTCATCTTTATTCTACCATCACCTAATGTATCTCCCACATCTTTAGAATGATTTTCTATCAGGAGAATTTATGAAAATAAATGTCAACAACCATTGCTATGTTGCCAAGTCCAAAGATTATTTCTCTGATACCATTTGGTTAAATTTCTCAGTGATAATTGAAAACAGAAGCCACTCCCTTTCAGCATTATATTCTTCTAGTTGCTACAACACTATGCTTTTCTGGACTTCTTTCTACTTAATAATCTAATCCTTGTTTTCTCTCTTGGTCCTCTCCTTATAGGAAGTCTTTAAGGAGAATAGAATCCTATAGGGATTGTGTCTATGCTCTATTCTTTTGTTTATAAGCGTTTTCTTTTCAAGTGACCCCATCTAAGCCCTGAGTTAAAACTAATATCCAACACTTTGACTTTACCAATTTTGGTTCCAGAAGGAAACACCTAATTACTTTCTGAGCTCCAGGATTAAACAACTGATTATATGTATTAATTTTCTTATTTGCATATAATTGAAGGAAAAAATCTATTGAACTGGGGGTTGTTTGGATAATCTTTTTGTACATTGTGAGAAAATGTGTCTCTGTTTTAACTAACTTGCCTAAAGCACCTTCTGATTGGTTTAATAAAGAATAGACAGACAGGAGAGGGTAGGCAGGACTTCAGGACAGAGATAGTAATTCTGGGAAAGAATCTGAGGTGGGAGAGATTCACCAGCTAGATGCAGCGGAAGTTGGATTTATGGTACTGAGGAGAGCCAATGAACTAGGTGGCAGAATGTAATGAATATAAATGCATTAATTTAAGTTTCAAGAGGTAGTTGGGAACAAATCTAAGCTAAGGCCAACCAAGCTTTCATAATTAATAAAAAGTTCAAATGGCCAAAAGACACTTAAGGTCATGCTCAACCTCCTTAGCCATCAGGGAAATGCAAATCAAAACAACGTTGAGATACCATCTTACACCTGTCAGAATGGCTAAAATCAAAAACACCAATGATAGCCTTTGCTGGAGGGGTTTTGGAGAAAGGGGTACACTCATCCATTGCTGGTGGGAATGCAAAATTGTGCAACCACTTTGGAAAGCAGTGTGGTTTCTCAGGAAATTCGGGATCAACCTACCCCAGGATCCAGCAATACCACTCTTGGAAATATACCCAAGAGATGCCCTATCATACTACAAAAGCATTTGTTCAACTATGTTCATAGCAGCATTATTTGTAATAGCCAGAACCTGGAAACAACCTAGATGCCCTTCAGTGGAAGAATGGGTGAAGAAAGTGTGGAATATATACATAATTAGAGTACTACTCAGCGGTAAAAAAACAATGGCATCTTGAATTTTGCATGCTAATGGATGGAAATAGAAAACACTATCCTGAGTGAGCTGACCCAGACCCAAAAAGATGAACATGGGATGTACTCACTCATAATTGGTTTCTAGCCATAAATAAAGGACACTGAGCCTATAATTCGTGATCCTAGAGAAGCTAAATAAGAAGGTGAACCCAAAGAAAAACATATAGTTATACTCCAGGATATTGGAAGTAGACAAGATTGCCAGGCAAAAATTAGGAACTGGGGGGGGGGGTGGGGTGGGATAGGGGAAAGGGGATATGGGGAGAGAAAAGTGAGAAGGGGAGGATGGGGAGAGCTTGGGGGAATGGGATGGTTGGGATAAAGGAAGGATGGATATGGGATCAGGGAAGTATATATCTTAATTAAGGGAGCCATCTTAGGGTTGGCAAGAGACTTGACTCTAGAGGGGTTCCCAGGGGTCCAGGGAGATGTCCCCAGCTAGTTCCTTGGGCAGCTGAGGAGAGGGAGCCTGAAATGGCCCGATCCTATAGCCATACTGATGAATATCTTGCATATCACCATAGAACCTTCGTCTGGCGATGGGTGGGGATAGAGACAGAGACCCACGTCGGAGCACCGGGCTAAGCTCCCAAGGTCCAAATGAGGAGCAGAAGGAGGGAGAACATGAGCAAGGAAGTCAGGACCGCGAGGGGTGCACCCACACACTGAGACGGTGGGGCTGATCTAATAGGAGCTCACCAAGGCCAGCTGGACTGGGACTGAAAAAGCATGTGATCAAACCGGACTCTCTGAACATGGTGGACAATGAAGGCTGCTGAGAAGCCAAGGACAATGGCACTGGATTTTGATCCTACTGCATGTACTGGCTTTGTGGGAGCCTAGCCTGTTTGGATGCTCACCTTCCTAGAGCTGGATGGAGGAGGGAGGACCTTGGACTTCCCACAGGGCAGGGAACCCTGACTGCTCTTCAGACTGGAGAGGAGGGGGAGGGGAGTAGGGGGAGGGGGGAAAGGGAGGCGGGGAGGAGGCAGAAATTTTTAATAAAAAAATTAAAAAAAAATGAAATATACTCAAATAACTCAGCAATTTTGTCCCTCTTTAGCTACCCAGGTTAATCCAATCCTCATTTCCATATACTGCAGACAGATGTCTATAGCAGTTTTATTCATAATTGTCCAAACCTGGGTGTAGCTGACGTGTCTTTCAGTAGGTGGGTAGAAAAACAAATTGTTTTATACCATACAACAAAATGTGATTATAAAAATAAGAAATAAGCTATCAAACCGTGAAAATAGATAAAGTATCCCAGGTGTGGTGGTGCATTCCTGTAATCCAGGAACTTGGGAGGTTGATGCAGTAAGATCAGGAGTTCAAGGACATGTTTAATAATACAGCAAGTTATAAGGCATTTGGGATACATGAGACCCTGTCTAAAAGACCAAAAGGAAAAAAATGGAAAATTAATGTTTCCACAGAACTATAGACAAATATTGCTTACTGAAGAACTAGTCTAAAAAGGCTATCCCTTTGGGAAAAGGCAAAAATTAAGGTGGTGATGAAGATCAGTAGTTTTCAGAGGTGAGTTTTAGAAGAAGGGAGAGAAGGGAAGCACTGGGAAACTGTGGGGAATGAAACTATTCTAATATTGCAATAGTGGGCATATGATACGGTACATTACAGATGCCATGGAACTGCACTATGAACGGCATAGAACACATAACTTATGTAAACTATGGACTTGAGTTGACGTGTCTTAGGTTCTATTGCTGTGAATAGACACCATGACCACGGCAACTCTTACACAAAGAAAGCCTTTAATTGGAGCTTGCTTACAGTTTCAGTCGTTTAGTTCATCGTCCTCATGGCAGGGAGGAGCGTGGCAGCATGCAGGCAGACATCATAGTTGAGAGTCCTACATCTGGATCTGCAGGAAGCAGGAAGAGACAGATTGTATCTGGCTTCAACTTTTGAAATTCACTGATCCCAGTTATAACTTCCTCCAACAAGGTCATATACCCTAAACACTTTTAAGCAGCATAACTTCCTTATGACCAATCATTCAAATATATGAGCCTATAGGGGGCATTCCTTTTCAAACCACTATATAATTTATCAGTTATTTTTATTAGTTATAACAAATACATCATAGTAATGAAAGATCTTAATAATATGGGAAACTTAAGGTTAAGAACTCTGTGCAATTGTTCAAGTTTCTGTAAGCTTAAAATTGCTTTAAAAAGCCTAGAGCCCAGCATGGTGGTGCATGCCTACACACTTACTACCTGGAAGGCTGAGACAGAAGAAAGAGGGTTTAAGTCCACTATGGACTACACAGTGAGACCTTGTCTTAAACTAAAAAGTCTGCTGCAAAGAGAAGCTTCTTTGATGAGGGATGAAATCTATACTTTCCTCTGGGTAGAAGGATAAGTATTTAGAATACACTTAGGAATCATGCTGGTTCAATGAAGAGGAAGTACAAGGTTCACCTCTTAGAGCCAAGGCCTCACCAGCCCTGGGAAGTTGGGTAGGTTTCTAGTACCATGCATAATGCCCCTTCTGGTGTGTAATGCATATGAGAGTTGCGGTGGATCAGTGGTTACATACTCTTCTGACATGTGTGAAGACCCAGGCTAGATCCTCACCTTTGAAAAAAGGGATTCAAAAATGATTCATGATTCTTTAGAAAAGTGATTTGTAAAAGGGCTATGTTTCATGATGCATTGGAAAGTCATGAGGTTCAATGTGGACATTTTAACCATAGCGATTATACTGTGGGACAATGGTTTGTACCCTGTCAATTGTATTTTAAATCTCTGATTGGCCAGTAGCCAGGCAGGAAGTATAGGCAGGACAACCAGGCAGGAAGTAGAGGCAGGGTGATGAGAACAGGAGAATTCTGGGAAGAGGAGTCTGTAGTCCTGATCCAGCCACAGAGCAAGCAAGATGTGACTGCCTCACCAAAAAAGGTACCAATCCACATGGCTAACATAGATAAGAATAATGGGGCTAATATAAGTTATAAGAGTTAATAAGAAGCCTGGGCTAATGGACCAATCAGTTTATAGTCAATGAAGACCTCTGTGTAATTTCTTTGGGACTTAATGAGTGCAGAAACTAGGCAGTACAGAAACCTCAATCAACACTGTTATCTTCACTTTACTCTCATAACTTTATCTTCATTCCAATCCAGAAAACACCACTGCATATGAACTGAGTATCTTCCCCAAGTAATTCACTCAGCACACTTGGCTAGGGTTTGAACATGAAATGTCTTCTATTGGCTCAAATACTTGAACATTTTGTCCTGTTAAAGTCCTGGCAGGAATAGAGATATCCCAAAGAGATACTTTTGCCCCTCCTTTTGGCTATCAGAATCCTGAGGCAATGGAGCCTAAGAATTTGCAATTTTCCCAGAAGTCTCAAATGAGACAAAGGCTAAAACCATTGTACCAGCTAGAGGGAGATCTTGTTTCCTGGAAAGCCATTTCACAGTTTTGACAAGTTGACAGTCCACCTTGTAGAAGAGTGTGAAGTTGAAAGACAGACCACACTTTAGACAGGACTGCTTAGTTATGCATACCTGTTGCCCTCTAGTTATGGCCCTGAACTTAGACTTGGGGTATGGGAGAGGTCATTGGATCTCTATGTTCCTCTTCCCATTCTGTCCACATTGAATATATTTTTTCTGGCTTTCATTATTAATTGTCTAATTGGTCTCTTAATGGTAGGTGGCTGAACCTGACTTCTTAGGAATGCCTAGTCTCTGACCTTGACCGTTTCCAGTTGGATGCTTTATTTTGGAGGTTGGGGAACTTCTGGAAAATGAACCTTTGCTAGAGGAAACGGGTCCCTGGGAATGGGTTGTATAGCCCAGCCCTATTTTCCATTTTTTCCTCTGCTTCTTGACTGTGGATGCACTGTGACCAGCTATGTGACCAGCCTGTCATTATGACTCCATCACCAAGATGGACAGTATCTCTTCTTAGTCTGTAAGCCAAAATAAAGCCTTCTCTAAGTTGCTTTTGTTGGCTATTTGGTCAGCAAATACTCAGAGAATACTAGGTAATTTAATTAAAGTGACTTTTAAACTCAATACTAAACTGCCAGTGTTAAGTCCCAGCAACCTGGCCAAGGTGGAGGCAGGAGTTCTGCATCAGACTGGGCAGCAGAGACGCCACTTCTCTCCGTCTTTCTCAGAGGAAATACTTGAATCCTTACCAGTTACACCAGTTCAGATACAATTCCTTGTTACCTTTTTAACTCCGCAATAAAGCAACATCCTTGGCATTCAGGTTTTTTTTTTTTTTTTTGAAATTCAGAGACCGAACATTTGGTGAATGCACATGGTCTAAAACACACTCTCTCTCTAGTCCTGAAGTAAAAACTGCCACCAGCTTTAAAGTTTTTCCGAAAGGTTCTTTGGCCAGCATCAAGGTCTCACTCCGGCTCACTTTGCAGCGCCCTTCCTCCGGTGCGCGCGCAAACCTAAACCCACGAAAGGAAACCACAGTTCTGCCCACTGAAGCTCGCCCACGTGAGACCGAGGCCACGCACCCCACGTTTCTCCTCCTCTAGCCAGACCAGAGTTTGTCTGGACAGCAGTCCGCTACTCCCCAACGGGCGACCTCGGCCCCCTTCCTCTCCAGCACCTCTCCTCACTTTCCGCGGCCCCAGGCTCGCCGGAAGCCCCGCCCCGAGGTCGCCAGCGGGCTCGCGCATGCCCGGTGCGCGCAACCTCGCGGCGCGCTCCCTCTCGTCTGCCCCGCCTCTTTTGGTCGTTCGGGGGCGCGCGTAGCGGGCGCGCGGAGATTGGCTGCTTCGGTGGCGGCGCCTCAGGCCTGAGAGACTGCGCGAGCGAGCCGAGTGGGCGCGGAGGGTTCTCGCGGCTCCTTAGGTAACGGCGTGGACCGGGAGAGCTGGGGAAGGGAGGGCAGATCGGGGTGGGCTGCAGCCGGCTCCCCCACTTCCGGCCGCAGCCCCTGGAGATGCGAGGAGGTGTGCGTGGGATTGGCCCGGAGCGTGTCGGCCACCCTCGAGGGCCGGTGTCGCGGGGTTCTCAGGTGACACACTGCTCCTTCTCCTCAGGTTTCGGCACGGGCTTGCAAAAGTTAAAGAGACTGAACATTGGTCAAAAGTGTGGGTTGTTTTTCCTCTCAGTCTTGGCGAGGTCGGGTTTCAGCCCTGGCTGGACCGCGGATCCACTGTGTCCTTGCGGGACACTTGAGCACTTTAGAGTCCTCACCCTGGAAAGTGCAAGCCAAACTCCAGGGTCGCGCAGCGCGCGCGGAGCCCGCTGCTGTAAGAGCGCCTGGAGATGCCAGCTCCGCTTTCACAACATCCAGGAGGCGACTTTTCTGACTGGAGGATGACACCTCCCAGTGGTACTTACTGGTGAAGTTCTTGAAGGAACTTTACGGAAGGAGCTGGCTAAACTACCAGATAGCAGGACAGACTAGGGTGGTCTAAAGAAACACCTTTCCACGAGAACAGGACTTTGGGTGGGCTCCTTCGAGCATTTTATGCGAGTTAATTCCCAGTGGTCGTGGACAGAGTTAAGGGAGGACAATTTTAACCTACTAATAATGAGTTACTCATTTTACACAGTGTGGTCTTCTATCTGGAAAGCATAAAATGACAGTTATGTAATCATTACATAGGCTGTCACCATACACACACACACACACACACACACACACACACACACACACACATTCCCTTTGTCAGTTTGCCAGGAATTACCTCCATCAGATTGTCCTTTGGGCACGTCTTTGGACATTTTCCTGAATTTGATTTGGGTGGGCCCAGATCACTGTGGGCGGTATCACCACTGGTCAGGTGGTCTTCGGGTGTATAAGAAAGCAAGCCAAACAAGTCCTGGAGAGCAAGCCATTAAGCCGGGTTACTCCCTAGTGTCTGCTTCAGTTCCTGCTTTCCGGTTCTAGCTTTGAGCAACTTTGGTAGCTTCCCTGGGTGATGGAAGCCCTCCTCCTGCCCCCCATGCTGCTTTTAGTCTTGGTATTTATCAAAACAATGGAAACCAAACCTATGTAATACTATGCCAGTAAAACTAATTGAGGTTTACATTTTAAAAGTGAGATAATATGAGTTGTTTCATTAAAGTAATGATGGCAAAACAAATATGAATAAGTGATAGACACATTTTTTTTTTCTTCAGAGACACAGAGTATGAAATACAAATCTTTGTGTGGTAACTTTCAAGTATTTAAGTCATGTGTACAACTCACCGCATTTCATCACGTATACTCTTTTATCTAGTATCAAGATCAAGAAAGAACATAATAAGGGATGGAGCAATAGATTGGTGGTTAAGAGTGCAAAACCCGGTTTGATGCCCGGCATCTACATGGTGCGCACAACCTTCTTTAACTCTAGTCCCAGGAAATCTATGTCTCCTTCTGCCCTCTTAGCATGCTTATGTGCACTTCGGTGCCAAGGCATACATGTAGACAAAATACCAACATACATAAAATGTTAGTTACATTAAAAAAAACAGCATAATAGTATTTGCATTACAGAAAACCCTGCTTGTACCAATAGTAATCATTGGATTTGAGTTTACTTGCATAGGAATCCAAGGGACTGGAGCCATTACAGCGTAAGTACCTCCTGGTTAATCATTTTGGCTGAGTACCTGGACTGAATTTGTGCTGTGGGCTGAAGTTCGCCAGCCCTTGCTGTATTTAAACAATGGCTGCTCAGGACTGCTCCAGCTTTCCCTGCCTATTATTTCAGTTAACATTTACAGAAGACAGGTTCTACTTTTAGGTGTTTTTTTTTTTTAAGAAGTGAATTTAATATGTATTAAATTTAAGATGTATTAGAAGTATATTGAGACATTTAGGGTAGTCTAGCAATGTGATATTGATTCTTCTTTGATTACTAAGTAAACACAGATTTAAGATAGGCCACACCTTCTGACACAATAACGGTTTATGTAAGTACTTTTAAAATAAATTCTAATGAAATAATCTGTTTGGCAGCAATAAGTAGCAAATGTGCTGTTTATTAAATTTATTAAATTCAGAAAAATTAGTGAAAAATAGCTCTTCATAACAGAACTACATTGTAATCTCTCACTTTAAATCCTTTTTAAAAAACAAACAAACAACCCAGGATCTCCTGTCCTTTAGGCTGTCGTCAAACGAGTTAAGTAGCTGAGGATGTTCTTAGGTTTTGATTCTCCTGTTTCTGACTCTGGAGAGCTGTCTGCTGGTGCCTGGAGTCTTTGGTTGTTGTCGTTATTGTCATCATTAGTTGCTCTGACTGGCCCTGAACTCTCGGCTTCCAATCATCTTCATGCCTTAGCCCACCAAGTAGCTGATAGGACAGTTATGGGCCACTGCACTTAACTTGTTTACTTTAATATGTTTGGTCCTGAAGTATTAAATTTAATCGTAACTATAATACCCAGTTTTATTTTGGGTTATAGTTTTTGTTGTTTTGTTTTGAAGTCTCTAATCTGGCATCATAAAGTTTTATTTTAAAGGGGTAACTGGTTTGGTGCTTCATGAAATGGTTGAATAATGGGACAGATTTCCCGTAGAACTGTTTTTGGTAGTTGGTTAGAGAAACCCTGGTTCTGATGTTGCTAAAATTGAAAGTATTGTTCTTTTTAATTTTATTCTATTTTGAATATATACAAGTAGGCGGTATATTCTTATAAATTTACAGTTTTGCATTAGATGAGCTGTGTATACACATTGAGATTGCTTTCATTATGCTTGGATTTATATATTTTAGAAATAACTGGACTATAAAACTGTTCATTTTACTGCAGTCTATAATCTTGAGTTTTATTGTTTCTTCTTGAAACATGTCAATATCTCTTCTTTTAATTTTTTGACAGTCTCTCTCTATTTAGTTTTGGATGTCTTAGAAGTTGCTGTGTACACCAGGCTGGCCTTGAACTCAGAGAGATCCTCCTGCTTCTGCCTCCGGAGTGCTGGTGGTAAAGACATGCTCCACTGCACAGGGCTTCTTTTTAGTTTTATCTTAAGGATTTTGCTAATACATTTTTAAAGATAATAATAACTTTAAAAAACTTTTATGAAATGTAATGCATATAAAGATCAAAATGTAAAACATATAGACATTTTTGAATAAATGAATAATCATAACTTGTTATCAATTTGTATATGGTTGTTTACAAAGCATGTCTGTGCATGTGATATGGATTCATCAATGGATGGACTGTTTTATCTGTTTCTTATTAAGGCTGTTGCTCAATTCTCTTTCATTAAAATTTTCTTTCATTAATTACTTGTATATGTATGAATCCCTTTTAGTAGTGATAATCGCTGACAATTTGCTATCTGTTAAAGCACACACAGAGAGAGAGAGAGAGGTACATATCTATTTTTTGAGGTTCTGCTATTCAAAATATGCAGGTTTATGGTTAATCTATTTTCCTGTAAGTGAGGCATCCTCTTTTATCAGTGACTCAGTTCATTTTTTTTTTTTAAAACCCTTTCATTTTGAAATAGTGTATTTGTTGAGAAGTTGAAGAAAAAAGTATTTGCTATCTCTGACTTGGTTTTTCACCTTAAGATTTTTTTTTTGGCTTTGGGGTGATTTAGCACGAATAATAAAAAACCCCAGAGACAAATATTGGGGTTCAAGCTGAAGATCAGAAAAGCAAAATAGCCAACCTCTAGAAAGACCTCCTGCCTCTATCAAATCTTCAGACTGAATGTGCAAGATCCTGCCTCCATGAATCCTCACACTCCACACTACACTGGCTCTTCCCTTTATAGTCCTCTCTCCGCCCAGCCATGTTGCTCCTGTCTCCACCTTCCTAGTGCTGGGATTAAAGTTGTGTGACTCCCAAACACTGGGATTAAAGGCGTGAAACACCACCACCTGGGTCTGTTTCTGGATTGATCCTGTGTAGTCCAGAATAGCTTTGAACTCACAGAGATCCATCTGCCTCTATCTCCCCAAATCCTGGGATTAAAGTTGACACCAGACAGTGACACCACTGCCTGGCCTCTAGTGGCTTAGATTTGCATTCTGATCTTCAGGCAAGCTTTATTTATTAAAATACAAATAAACTATTCCTACAAGTTAGTGAGAAACTGATAGATATTCAGTAAAAGTGATATCTCAAATCTATAATTTCAGTCTTTATTCAGGCTAGGGGTAGACTTGCTAAGATACTGTTATTCCTGCACTGGGCAGTGCCAGCAAGCTGCAGTTCTTAGGTGGTGGTCTTTGGTACACCGTGTAAAGTTGGGTATTTGGTGGCTTAGGTGTATATAATACATTTTTGATGTATTTATCAGGATGTAGCCCATCAGAAGTCAAAGAACATCTTTCTAGAATTCTGTATTCCATGTATAATACTTTTAATGTTAAAATAATACACAATGATTAGGGCATTCTTATTTTTTTCTTTTAAGTGGCATCTTTTTTTTTAATATAAAGTATAAAAATTTAGTTTAAGCTTTTTTAGGCAAATGCCTGTCAAACAAACCTCCACTGAAAACAAGTTGTGTTGTATTCTGTCCCTTTTTTTTTTCTTTTCTGAGCTCGTAGTTAAAATAAGAGAAACCTTAGCATTGGCATTTATTTGTGAAAGTTGCTAACACCAAGAATGGAAAAGGAAGTCCTGGATCTTTTCAGAGAGAACATAAAACCGGG